GCAGGCACCTATAATCCCAGCTACTTGGGAGGCTGAGGCAGAAGAATTGCTTGAACTCAGGAGGTGGAGGTTGCAGTGAGCCAAGATCATGTCACTGCACTCCAGCCTGGGTGACAAGAGCAAAACTCCATCTTAACAAAACAACAACAACAACAACAAACAATAAATACATAAAATTCCAGGACCAAGAGTGGAGGCGCCAGGATTGGTTTTTCCCCAGTCTCCATGAGTTAGCCTCACCAGCCCTTATTTCCCTTTGAAGACATTTTTCTTACCTAGGCAGACTCCTAACCACAGGTATCTGGCATCCTTTTGGTCCATTGTCAAAAGATAAACATAGTAGAATGCAACATAACAGTCCTAGATGCATGACACAGACATGGGATTGTGGTGGAGTGTCACTTAAACAATTAATTATATTCAGGCATACCTTGAAGACAGTGTGGGTTTGGTTACAGACCAAACACAATAAAGTGATTATTACCATAAAGAAAGGCACAGAATTTTTTTTGTTTCCCAATGCATATAAAACTTATGTTTACACTATTCTGTACTCTATTAAGTGTGCAATAGCATTATATCTAAAAAATATACATAGCTTAATTTAAAAATATTTTGTTGCTAAAAAATGCTAAGAATCCTTTGAGCCTTCAGGGAGTCATAATCTTTCGCCTGGTGGAGGGTTTGGCCTTGATGTTGATGGCTGCTTCCTGCTCAGGTTGTGTGTTGCTGAGGACTAGGGTGGCTGTGGCAATTTCTTAAAATAAGACAACAATAAAGTTTGCAACATCAATGAACTTTTCCTTTTATGAAAGATTTCTCTGTAGCATGCAGTGATGTCTGATAGCATGATACAGTGTTACTTCTTTCAAAATTGAAATCAGTCCTCTCAAACCCTGCCACTGCTTTATCAACTAAATTTATGTAATATTCTAAATCCTTTGTTGTTATTTCAACAATGTTCAAAGCATCTTCATCAGGAAGAGATTCCACCTCAGGAAACTACTTTCTTTGCTCGTTCATAAGAAGAAATTCTTCCTTCATTAAAGTTTTATCATAAGGTTGCAGCAATCCAGTCACATCTTTAGACTTCACTTCTAATTCTAGTTATTTTGCTATTCGCACCACATCTACAGTTATTTCCTTCACTGAAGTATTGAAATCCTCAAATTATCCATGAGGGTTGGAATCAACTTCTTTTAAACTCTTATTAATATTGATAATTTGACCTCCTCCTATGAATCTGAATATTTCTAATGACATCTAGAATGGTGAATACTTTCCAGAAGGTTTTCAATTTGCTTTGCTCAGATCCATCAGAAGAATCACTACCCATGGCAGCTATAGTCTTACAAAATGTACTTCTTAAATAATAAGACTTGAAAGTTGAAATTACTCCTTGATCTGTGGACTGCAGAATACATGATGTGTTAACAGGCATGACAATAACATTAACCTCCTTCTACAGCTACATCAGAGCTCTTGGGTGACAAGGTGCACTGTCAATGAGTAGAAATGTTTTGAAAGCAATCTTTTTTTTTTTTTTTTTTTCCCTGAGCAGTAGTTCTCAACAGTAGGCTTAAAATATTTAGTAAGCTATCTAGAAACAGACATGCTGTAATCAAGACTTTGTTGTTTACTTTATAGAGCCAAGGCAGAGTCAATTTTGCATAATTCTTAAGAGCCCTAAGATTTTCAAAATGGTAAATGGGCATTGGCTTCAACTTCAAATCAGCAGCTTCATTAGTTCCTAACAGGACAGTCAGCATGTTCTTTGAGGCCAGGCATTGACATCTTGCTAGCTATGAAAGTCCTAGATGATATCTTCTTCCAATAGAAGGCTGTTTTGTCTACATCGAAAACATGTTGTTTAGTGTAGCCACCTTCATCAATTATCTTAGCTAAATTTTCAGGATAGCTTGTTACAGCTTCTACATCAGCACTTGCTGCTTTATCTTGCAATTTCACATTATAAAGATTGCTTCTTCCTTAAGCTTATGAGGCAGCCTCTACTGGCTTCACATTTTCCTTCTGCACCTTCTTTTTTTTTTTTTTTTTTGAGACAGAGTCTCACTTTGTTGCCCAGGCTGGAATGCAGTGGCGTCATCTAAGCTCACTGCAATCTCTGCCTCCTGGGTTCAAGAGAGTGTCCCACTTCAGCCTCCCAGGTAGTTAGGATTATAGGCTCCCATTGCCACGCTCAGCTAATTTTACATTTTTAGTAGAGATGGGGTTTCACCATATTGGCCAGCCTGGTCTTGAACACCTGACCTCAGGTGATCCACCTGCCTCGGCCTCCCAAAATTCTGGGATTACAGGCATGAGCCACCATGCCCAGCTATCCTTGTGCATCTTCCTCACCTCTATCAGCCTTCATAGAACTGAGGAGAGTTAGGGTCTTGCTTTAAACTAGACTTTGGCTTACAAGAATGTTATGGCTTCTATCCAGATCACTTAAATATTCTCCCTATCAACAATAAAAACTATTTTGTTTTCTTATTCATGTGTTCACTGGAGTAGCATTTTCAATTTTCTTTAAGAACTCTTCTTTTGCATTCGCAACTTGGCTTACCATTTGGTGCTAGAGGCCTAGCTTTCAGCCTATCATGGCTTTCAACATGTCTTCCTCTTAAGTTTAGTCATTTCTAGCTTTTGATTTAAAATGAGAGACACAGGACTCTTCCTTCCACTTGACCTCTTAGTTATCATTGCAGGGTTACTAATAGGACTAATTTCAATATTGTTGTGTCTCAGGAAATAAGGAGGCCCAAAGAGAGGAAGAGAAATGGACGAATCCTGGTTTAGTCTGTGGAGCAGTCAGCACACACACATTTATCAAATAAATTTGCTGTCTAATATGGGCATGGTTTGTGTCACCCCAAAATAATTACAATAGCAGCATCAAATATCACTGATCACAGATCACCAAAACAGTTATAAGAGTAATGAAAAAGTTTGAAGTATTGCAAAATTACTAAAATGTGACTCAGAGACACGACGTGAGTACATGCTGTTGGAAAAATGGCGCTGACGGATTTGCTTGATGCAGAGTTGCTACATTCCTTTAATTTATGAAAAATGCATTATCTGTGAAGTGCAATTAAGTGATGTATAATGCAATGAGGTATGCCTATACTTGAAATTTCCTGATTTTAGGGAGAAAAGAGCTGACATGATATTGCAGAAAAACAATATAGTTGAGCAGGTCTGGAATCTATTATCTCTGAATATTACTTTTAATAAGCCCACTGTATATAATAATAAATTAAATTTGAATTGTACTTTTAAGAACTCTTTGATGTTGGCATAATTTCCCAGAATTACTGAGCATTAACTTCCATTGGGTAGAAGAATATTTTTCAGTGATCTAAAAATTAGCTTGCCATTCATTTTGCATTCAATAAATACTACATATATATTTTATATCAGATACTGTGCTAGGTATTGAGGATATAGAAAATGACTTAGGGAACTATTTATAAGAACCATGTAATATATAAGGAATTTAGTAAAGAATTTTATAACGTATATGTGGATAAATGCATGGGTACATGTAGGTATGTATGTAATGTATGTAATATGTACAACTGTATCAGTCAAAATTCATTTGGAAATGCAGAACCACTATGCATATTGTGGAATAAATAAATTATAAAAATTAGTGCTTCACACAGCTGTGAGAGGGACTGGGGAAGTGAAGTGAAGATCTCAACGTGAAAGTCAGAAAATCAGGGAAGCATCCTTAGTCTGTCTGAGGCCCTGGCATGGGTGGACAAATCAGAGCTTCCATGTCCAGCTCTCACAACAGGGGAGCACATGGAGAGGCCTCTGTGGGTCCATGGTTTAGCATCTTGTTGTGGGCCTGGGGCACTGTGGACTAGCTTTGCCATTAGTCAGGAAGGAGAGCTAGATACAGGACAGAAGGGAATGGAGGCCAGTTGGGAACCTCCAGGGCACCTTTGCCTCCATCCATAACCAAATTTAACCATGTCTACAGTTTTACTTCTGCATTCCAATTTTTTGGTACAAGTTCCTTTATTTTTTTGGCTAACTCTAACACCTAACCTGGAGTCACACAGAGATGATATTTTGGATTGTATAGTTTCTGTCTTTAATTAACTTGACATTCAGAATACAGTAAAAAAATTATATAAGGAAACACACACACACACACACACACAAATTAGCCTGTTAGTATCTATTATAAAACTTTTCTGAAATGACTTCATAAATAGGTTTACACATATACTGTGATTTCCAAGTTGTTATTTCTCTTTTCAGTAATAACTTATTTTAAAGTAATGCTAAATAGGATTTTTTAGAGCAACCAAAAACTTTAATAGTTTTTGTCTCCCTTGGGTGCATCCTATTTGGCAGAAAATCTTCCTCATCACAAGTGTTTAAAATAGCATGGGAAACCCTGTGACAGATACCGTACAATTTCCTCCAGGACATCCGGAATGTGTGGATGTCCACAGACATTCCATCAGCTAGAATCTCTTATACATCACAAGTTCTTGTTGTCTTGTTAGGTGTTCAGTGATTGTTGAGGAAAATCCATTTAGAGAACATACTCATACAACTCTTTTTAACTTTAATGCCCTGCAGAGAACTGGGAACAAATGTTGGTGTTCTCAGACGACAAAAGTTTCGTTCTACAAGGACTACAGAATCTGAGGCAAAAGAAATCATCTAGGATTTTCCTTAATGATTGCTGTAGATTCATGACTACAAAATCCTCAGAATTCTTGGGTAAAGAATTCTGAAATTAACACATAATTATAACAATAGAAATTTCAGATTTCCTTATTCAAAATTTCTTTTCTTGTATTGAAAGGAGAAGGTCACCTCATATCCTCAAAAACTTATTCCAATGCTCCTTTTGGACTGTTTGATGAGAAAAATCTCTAAGTGATACAGGGGTATAAACCTGGGGGAAGAGAGACCTGACTTTCTATTCACAGCTTTTCTTTTCTTTTTTTTTTTTTTTTTTTTGCCAGATGGGCACCTTAAAAGATTTTCGTGAGGACTAAATAAGTACTTCAAGTACTGAACTAATTGTAAGTACTCAATAAATGTTAATTTCTTTATGCTATTCACCACAAAGTTATTTTATCATGATCATAATGGACTTTTCTCTCCTAAAACTAGCACCAAAAACCTCTTGTGGGCATTGATTTTCTTCGTAAATAAAGACAGACTCTTCCTGTTGAGGTAATAATGGATCTGCCACAGGCTGATCGCTGGCCTTCCCTTCTACTTTTTGTATCAGATTGAGAGGGGACCATGGCTCAATAGAATCTTTCTGTCCAATTATGTTTTGGAAGATGTTTGACATTTTAGTGGGATGATTGAAGTATTATTTTGCTCAACAGCAGGAAGAAAGAGAATAATCAACAACTGATTGACTTGGTTTCTCACCTGGCATGTTTATGCTGTTTTGTTTGCTCTAGATAACAACATCTTGATGTTCTTCTCTTAGTCTCAAAACCCACGAAGATGTTTCTTGCCTGAAAATCTCATATTCTTGTTAAAAACAAGGGAACCTAGGAAAAAATACTTGAGTCCTATAGTACCTCAAATAAAATATTTTCCTTATGTTTATGCAGATGAATAAAAGTCTCTAGCTAGGATATTTCATTGCCAGATTATTCCTCATAATTTCAGGGGGAGATCAGATGTGAGCCAAGCTTTAGATTTAAGTTGTTTCTCTAGAAATTATTTAAACAAGACGTAACATAATGTACCACTGAGGCCATCATTTACTTCATTGTTATGTACTTGTTGTAAAAGAGTTAAACAGCTTCTTGGTATAGCTTATGAGTTAGGAGAAGTTGTCTCTATAGATAATCATTAAATTTTATATGAATTGATATATAAAATTGTAAGCACAAATCACACACATTAGCATATCAAATGTATCTATTTTAACTTTTACTAGGACTATAATTTTCTAGGAGTTCCTTAATTGAGAAGACAATCTATATTAAACTGATTTGAACAGTGGTTTGGATAAAAGACCTTTGGACAGGAGTCAGAAGACCTGGGCATGCCACGTCACCTTTCTGGGCCACAGTAGCCTTTTCTGTAAAATGCGAGGGGCTCTTCTGATGAACTCTCAGTTCTTTTATGGTTTTGTAGTCATAGCCATCTCCCTACGCACAAGTGACTAGAAGATCTTCTTGTTAATTAGGTTTCATCAAATTAGAAATGCAATTATTCCTTCCTTTAAAAAGTGTATTTTCTCCCTTCATATTGTTTAATTTTACTTTACAAAATCTATGTAAAATTTTTGTCTGGGCTTTTTTCTCCTTCATAATAATGGTTCACTTATTAGCCCTTGTGATAGGTACTAGGGCAAAAATAAAATATCACAAAATAAATGGAGTTGGAAGGGACCGTGACAGATCATCTGGCCCAGCCATCTGCAATTGCAGCATGTTTTAGTGTTCACTTGCTCTACAAATAACCAGGAGTATCCAGCCAAGCCCATATTACTTTACCATGGCCAAAAGTGCTGGTCAAACTTATGAACTTTTCCCTTTATTTATCCTTGGAACTCTTTTGCTTTACTTGGCTGGGGTTTCTGGAAAACCATCTGATTCTAGCCTGGAGTCTGAAACAAATAGCTGTAGGAAATTGAGTTCTATAGGCAAGGTAACATCCAGATAATTTTCAGGTAGGCCTTCTCCATTTCTACTTCTACCTCTATCTTGAGGGTAGGTCTATCCTTCTGTCTGACTTCTTGTTTCATCTCCATTTCTGTGGGGTATAAAGAAATAATGTGTACAAAGAGCTTAGCACAGTGCTAGGCATGGAGCAGGATACAGGAAGGACAACCTGAAACTTCTGGGATGTGAATTCCCTGTGTCTTGCTTACTGCTATTTTCTATATAATCTGAATAGTGCCTGGCACACAATAGGTGTTTGGTAAATACTTAGTGAACTTACTCACTCATGTATTCTCCTTTTCTGTCTCTCTGTCCTTCCCTCCCCCATCTCTCTCTATCCTTCTCTCTGTGTCTTTCTTCCACCTGAAGAAACCCAAACTATAAGGGAATAAGGAGGATGATGCAGGTGCCCTTCAGTCACTGCTCCTTGACCAGAAGAATGAGAGATTTTGGTGGGTGTGGTGACTGGACGGGATGAAGAAGTTTTTGGGATAAATATTTCTCTAGCTATCTATATATTTATTTGTGAACAAGAGTTCCTAGAGAAATACGGCTTACAATTAGGAGATATACCTAATGTAAATGACGAGTTGATGGGTACAGCACACCAACATGGCACATGTATACATATGTAATAAACCTGCACGTTGTGCACATGTACCCTAGATCTTAAAGTATAATAATTAAAAAAAGAAAAAAGAAACATATCCAAAGATGTGTAGTTTCAAAAAAAAAAGAAAGAAATAAAAAAAGAAAGAAATACAGCTTGCATAAGCTACGTTACCTGAACTACAAATTCCACCTTGAAATGTTTCAGAGAAGAATGGCTGAGGGGCTCTGGTGAGAAGCAGCTGGGGTTTAGCAGTTAACTCTTATTTTTAAGCTCCCCCAAAGGGACCCAGTCCCCTGGGGTGCATGTGGTTCCCTGCAGAAGAGGCCCATGTACTCCTATGATGCATGACAACACTAATCCTTGCAACCTGTTCTCTTGCTCAGTCCATGTCCCCAGAGCAGTTTCTAATGCTCAGTGAGGCACAGGGCTGTTCAGGCAGTGTTGTTTTCTTGGGCATTTCTCCTTCAGATTGCAGGAGAATAAACCATAAAACCTTTTATATTGTAGATGCTTCTTACCTCTCCAGCTTTCTTTCTCTCCACTCTTGCAACCAACACCCAAGCCATATTAAACTCCCTACTCTCCCCCAATTCCCCATCCCTCTCTCACATTTCTGAGCCTTTGTGCACACCTCTTTTACTTTCTAGAATGCCCCTCCACGTCCCTTCCTTGGCAGGTGGAAAAGTGACACCCCCCTCTCAAAATAGCCATGTCCTAATTCCTGAACAAGCGATGTTACATTCTATGGAAAAAAAGTTAAGAATCTTTTGACATAGGATTAAGTTAAACATCTTGATATGGAGAGATTATCCTGGATTATCTGGGGATGCTAAGTGTAATCCTAAGTGTCCTTTAATGAGGGAGGCAGAGGGAGACTTGACCTACACAGAGGAGAGGGCAATGTGAATGTGGAGGCAAAGACTGGAGTGACATGACCAAGGAATGCCAGCAATCCCCAGAAGCTGAAAGAGGCAAGGAAGAGACATCCTGAAAACCGCCAGAGGGAACACAACCCTGACATCTTGGGGCTTGGTGGTGCTGATTTCAGACTTTGCCCTTCACAACCTGGAGAATTCTCTCCAGAATTCTCTCTAGTTCCTGCTGCTTTTATTGATCAAGCCTGTGGTAATTTGTTGCAGCAATCTAAGAAATGACCCTCCTTTTATATTAGGCCAGCACCTGCTTAATCATGGTATCTCTGATCAGATGTCACTTCCTCCGGCAAGTTCTCCCGTGTCCCCCTTGGGTCCCAGTTTCATGGACTCCTTATACGTTCCCACAGTAGCCTATACTTACTTTTATTGGGGAATCTGTTACATTTCCTATAAAAGTCTCTTCTTTATTTAACTTCTAGGTCTTGGCAACAGGAGGACACGGCCTGTGGCTTCCAATTCTTCCTCCAGCATGCAGCAGGTTCTTCATAAACGTGCAGTTACACATGGCTTACAGTGTTTTGTTAGCCACCAGCAATCCCAACTGAAAAACAATGTTACCATATTATATTTTCCTTTCAATTCTGATTGGGGAAATAAATCACATACGTTGTTTTCAAGACATCTGGGCAAGTTTGCACTGCATCCTGCTGGAGGGTAGAGACTGCTGAAGCCTCCAGTTCTCAGCTAAGGCAGCTACAGTCTCATAATGCTTGCTTGGTGGTCTCCAGCACAGGTCTTTTCCGTATGCCTTCACAGTCCTCATTGATAAGAACTCTTGTTCCCAATCTCCTTCTTGCTGATCTCTCAGGATTGAGATGTGTGAAGTCTATTCCTAGTCGCTACTCTCATTCAAAGGTCTCAGCCCAGGTTATTGGTTCATTCTGTGTTTTCCTGCCTCTTGTCACTAGCATCATCATTGATGATCCAAGATGTGGAATTTTATGCCATTGCGTATGATTTGTGTGGGCGGAAAAGTCCTATGATGAAGTCAATGTTTTGTGAAGATTAACATCATGGTGTTGTTAAGTCCATATGTCAGGGAGAGTAATTTGGTTTCTGAATTCTAGGTTGTTGCAGGAATCTGGCCATCAGGCAGTGAGGAGCTGGACCAGAGTGATGGTGCTGGGATGCAGTGGGAAGGGATTAATTAAAAAGACATTGTATTAGCAAGTGCATTTTCAGCCCATATCAGTCTGAATTTTCTACTTAAGCATAAATGATAATTGATGTTGGGTTTGCAACTGCTTGGAATTTTAGAATGTTAGGCCCTCACCCTGCCTGCCTACCTCACCTTTTTGTTCTTCCTGAGAGCCCTGTCTTATGTCTGTTTGGTGATATATTTCTTACCAGCCCTTCTGCTCCAGGCTCCTTGTCAAGCAGCCCCAGGAAAGCCTCTGTCTATTACCTTCTGAAGCTCCAGTCAACTCTTACAGCCTGGAACAAAGGTTTCATTTTTCTGGCCTGCTTTGTCTTTCATTCCATCATTCCTAATTAGGTTAGGAAGTTCACTTAACTCCCCATACAGAGTTGAGACCAAACCATGTATTTCATTAGGACTTTATTGAAAGTTCAGGGAAAATGGGGGAAAACACCATGGAACTTAATTTACAACCAACTATGAGATTTGACTATTCTTTCACATCTCACAGTCCCAATTTGACCTCTGGCCTGAACCCCCCAGCTTGACATCCCCCCAGTCTGCAAGTTGCTTTGGAGCCTAAGCCCAATTACCATGCAGCTCAGAGAGGGGGAGGAATTTCTTAGACAATTTTCTGGTTCAAGATGCTGGCAATGGGAATGTCCTCTCCCTTCAGAGAAAACCACACAAGGTCTGGTAGGAT